AGCAGGTGGCATGCCTGGCACACATGGTGCTGGGGCTGTCTCTGGGCTGGGTGACAGCACCATCTGTGACTCCTGCCCAGGAAGGGGGGCTGCATGAGGACAATCCCCAGAGCGAGGGGCCTGGAGCCAGCCCCCCCCCACCCCGGTAGGGAGTCTGGGCTCCAAGGTCTCCCCCTGGGCTGTCTTGCTCCATCTCCGACCCTTGCCCCGGGAGTGCCGGGTCTCCGCAGCAAATCGCATGGGCAGCTGGTTCGCAAGGATGGCGCCATGCGGGCAGCTGCCATGGCTGCTCCGTGGGCATTGGGGACAGCGTCCGGGTGGATTTGCCCATGGCCGGCCCCTGCACTCACTGCCTCTCCCGGCCTGTCCCTGGGTACCCGGGAAGGCCTGGCTCCTGGGGGAGCAGCCAAGGGCAGGGTCCCCACCTCGATCTTTCCTATCCAGCTAGAGAGGGGCGGGGGCCAGGGGCTGGGCCCCCCAGAGCTGGGGTTGGCTGTCCCTTGCCCCAGACCTGCCAGAGCCTGGTTCACAGCTGCTCCGACCTCCTGTATCCCCCTGGCCCCGCCCAAGGGCCAAGCCTGCCGTGGGGAGCCGGCGGGAAAGGCCGTGAGTGTGGGGGGCCAGGGGAGATGGCAGGTGCTGAGGGTTAGAACGGGATGTCACTGTCTGGAAGGGCAGACGCCCCAGACCAGTGGTGGGGTCTGTTATTAGCTTTCACCAGGCCAGTAACAAATGTGGACTTTCAAAGTCCTACAACAGTCTTGCCGTGGAGTCCCAGATGGTCCCCTTGGGCTCCCCAGCCTAGCGCGCCCCCGGCCAGCCACACGGCCTCATAATGTACCCCCAAAATCACAAAGTTCAAGCCACTTCCAGTCCCAAGAGAGCGGTTGCTTCCCCCATCTCACCCCAGGGATAGCGTGGGAGCCGGTCCTGGAGCTGACTCCAGCGAGGAGATAGAGACAGTTATCAACAGGCAAACAGTCACTCCGCCACTCCGAGGAGTTTGTCTGATCCCAAAGGTGGCAGAGCTGCAGGAATCTCCGCGCCGAGTGGCTTCCAGGGCTGACCCACGCCTAGCAGGGCTGGGATCTTTGCCCCTCGGGTGCAGACAGCGGGAAAGAGCCTCAGTTTCCCCTGGTCAGGGATATGTAGCCCCTGCGGCCCAGAGCCCAAGGGGACAGGGTGAGTTCACGCGTAGGTCTCTGCTCCCTGGAGATCAAGGAATGCAGTGAGCAGGGTGCCCTACATTGCCATGTTTGCTGCCGGGGCCCCCTAGCGCGCGGGTCGAGGCTTCGGCATGCTGCTGGGGGAGTGGGACGACTGGGGACTTCCCCTTGTTATGGTGTATGTGAGTCTTACTGGTGAGCCTAGGTGAGTTTTACTGTTTTGCATGAATACGGTGTGTGCCTCAGTTTCCCTGTGTGCTGCACCAATACCTCGGTGGGGGGAATAGGGGTGTGTGACTTCGGCTGGGACCCTCTGGGGCAGGTGACACTGCTCCAGCTGCCTGCACATAGGCGATGGCTGGTGCCCTTCGTAACCTGAGACCCAGGAGGGGGATGCGACCAGGTGAGGACCAGGTGACTCTCTGCCCAGGAAGCCAGACAAAGACAAGGAGAAGGAGAAACGGGGGTGGGGTGTTGGAGGTGGGGTCGCTGGAAGCTGGCAGTCTGCTTGGGAGGACTGGAAGAGGGGGGGTCCAGGCCGTCTGGCCCAAGATGGACTTGGCTGAAAGTCACTGATTTCTGTGCTAACAAGCTCTGGGGCCTGACCTGTGCCCTGCTGTCCCCAGGCGGCCGCGGGGTGGCCGTGGGCCCCATCCTGAGCACCAGCGCCTCGGACATATTCTGCGATAACGAGAATGGGCCCAACTTCCTCTTCCACAACCAGGGGGACGGCAGCTTCGTCGACGCAGCTGCCAGCGTCGGTGAGTGAGCGCAGGCGGGTGAGGGACCTGCAGCCGGCGGGAGGGGGGGGGCGGTGGCGTGGCCAGGCCTGGCATTACAGGGGCCAGAGCGCCTGAGCGATACCCACAGGGCCCGTGGGAGGCCGAGCTGGGGACCCCGAGCGTGGGTCTATCAGGGTCGGGGGCCAAGCGGCACTGGCAGAATGGGACGGGGGGGAATAGGGCAGCCGAGTTGGCCCCGCTGTCTCTGGGGGCGGCCGGCCGCATGCCACACAGAGCCCCCCGCGGCGCCCGGCCCAGGCGGAGATGGGGCTCCCTCTGCTGTGGGGCTGGGGGTGTCACTGTCCTTGGCCCCACTCCCAAACAATCTCCTCTGCTGCCCTGCAGGCCTGGACGACCCCTACCAGCACGGCCGCGGCGTGGCCCTGGCCGACTTCAACCGTGACGGCAAAGTGGACATCGTCTACGGCAACTGGAATGGACCCCACCGCCTCTACCTGCAGATGAGCGCCAGCGGGCGGGTCCGCTTCCGGGTGAGAGTGGGGCGCACACGCTGCCGAGGGGCACTGGGATCAGGGCCCCCAGCTCCCCCAGGCTTCCACACCCTCCCCGGGGGGCTTGCTGTCCCAGCTCTCCCTGCAGGGGGTCACTCACGGCCCATTCTGGGGAGCCCCGCGCCCGGCCAGGCTGTAGGGCGCCCCTGGTTCCAGCTCTGTCGGGCTGTGACCTCCTTGGTCCGACTCCCGGTGAGAGCCCCGGCTTCTTCCAGCAGCCCCCCTCTGAGCCCCCCAGCCCTTTGATCTCCAGCTGGGGGGGTGGCTCAGCCTCCCTGCGCAGAGGCGGGGAGATCTCTGTCCCCTGGGGCACTGGGTGTCAGTGTCCTGGGGACTGGATTTGCCATCGGCGTCTCAAATCTCCACTGATCTGGGGCCAGACCCAGACAGCCAGGCGACACCACCCTTGTCTCCGCCTGCCCTGATTGAAAACAGTCCTGTCCCACCCACGGGGGAACAGTGCAGGGGAAACTGAGGCATGCCGGACTCATAAAGATATCCCTTGGTGCTGCCCGCTGTGCTGCCCAGCCCCCGTCGCTCTGTGGCCCTTATGCTTATAAGAAGCACACGGGATCTTTTTCAAGGGAAATGGCAACAAACTGCGTTTATTGGAGATACAACGGTTAGCATGTGCATTCAATCACACACACACACACATTCTCTCTCTCTCTCTCTCTCTGTGGGCAGCTAGGTTGATCACGGGTAGGGAGGAGCCGGGTTCTGTTGGTTGCGACACGCTGCTCTGGGGAAGTCTTGGCAGGACGAACCCAAAGTTTCATGGCAAGGCCCCCTGTTTATATAGTGATTTTCCTTCACTGGGACCAACGAGTTCTGCACCGTCATGCTGTAATCAATGGTTGTTTGACAAGGGCTTGTTTTCTTAAATTGTCCTTCTCATCCTTTATCTTGTTCTTTCCTCAAGTCTCTCAGGGAGTTACCCCAGACTGGGTTTGATCACTGCTCTCTTGTCCCCATTGATAGGTGCCTGTCTCATCTTTACAGTCGTCAATCTGCCTTCCTCTGACATGTCAATAGGGGCGTGTTGCAGCCTCCTGGCACCCTTGCGTCTGTCTCTGGTTTCTCCCTAGAACATCTGGTTCAGCGATGGCCTTCACACTTCTCTCTTAGCACACAAATTCCTCATTCACACACAAACCACAATTAATTTCCATAGAACATTTTGAACAGGAACATCAAGTTGCAATGCAGAAGAAAAACAACCATGGCTACATTATTATCTTATTATTCTTTATCCTTCACTCTAAATTATACAAAATACAAACAATAAATCCTAGAACTACACCCTGACCCGTCTCTCCCGCAGGACATCGCCACGCCCAAGTTCTCCATGCCGTCCCCCGTCCGCACCGTCCTCGCGGCTGACTTCGACAACGACCAGGAGCTGGAGGTGTTCTTCAACAACATTGCGTACCGGGGCTCCTCCGCCAACCGCCTCTTCCGGTAGGGCCGCCCGCCGGGGCAGGGTCAGAGGGCAGGCTGCCTACCGAGCGGGGGCTGGGAGCAGCTCACCTGCCCACCCAGGAGATGGGCCACATGCCCAGGAGAGCCGGGGGCCGCGGCTGCGTGCCCAGGAGGTAGGGCGGGCGGGCGGGCGGGCTGGATTCCGGTGCCCCTGGCGTGGAGCTGTGCTCCGTGCCCAGGAGCAGGAGGTGTGCCCACGAGAGCCCACGGGCACCAGCCACTGTGACTAAGCCCTTTGGGGGAGACGGTTGGGAGATGTCCAGTTAATCTCCACGCCACATTACAATATTGAGAAGGAGGGTGACGAGATAAGAACAGATATAGCCAGGGGGAAGAGATTGGACATAAGGAGGAGGGGGGGGATGGATACTAGACTAATAGGTCATACTGGCGGTACGGTGTCCGTACCAAATTGGATAACGAATGTGAGAGAGGCTAAACGGCATCAATTAAGATGTTTATACACCAATGCGAGAAGCCTAGGTAACAAAATGGAGGAATTGGAGCTCCTGGTCCGAGACTGGCCGTCGGGAAGTTTAGGCTTGAAATTAGACGACGGTTTCTAACCGTCAGAGGGGTGAAATTCTGGAACAGCCTTCCGAAGGAAACAGTGGGGGCGAAAGACCTCTCTGGCTTTAAGATTAAGCTTGATAAGTTTATGGAGGGGATGGTTTGATGGGATAACGTGATTTTAGTCAATAGGTCAATAACATGCCATCGCAGGTAATTAGTATCAATGGTCAATGTGGGTCTAGCTTGAGAATCTTGCCCGCATGCTCGGGGTTCTGCTGATCGCCATATTTGGGGTCAGGAAGGGATTTTCCTCCAGGGTAGATTGGCAAAGGCCCTGGAGGTTTTTCGCCTTCCTCCGCAGCATGGGGCAGGGGTCGCTTGCTGGAGGATTCTCTGCGACTTGAAGTCTTTAAATCACGATCTGGGGACTTCAACAGCTGAGTCAAGGGAGAGAATTATTCCAGGAGTGGGTGGGTCAGCTTTTGTGGCCTGCATTATGCGGGAGGTCAGACTAGATGATCATAATGGTCCCTTCTGACCTTAAAGTCTATGAGTCTATGAGTCATTATTAGCCCCTCACTCACAGCACTAATGGCCCCTCGTTAATTGTGGGGATTGATAGCTCCTTTGTCCTGGATGGATAGTGCCAAGTGTCCACACGGCCAGCCCCATGGCCACTCTCCGGCCCCGCCATTCGCCCGCACTAAGGCCCATCTGGCTCTGCCGGATCCTGGCAGTCTCTCCAGCAGGGGCTCCGAGTCTGTCCCTGCCTGGTGCCGAAGGGAGACGATGCTGTGTGCGCCAGGCAGGGCTCCCGCCAGGATGCAGCGCTGGCATGGGCTCTCGCCCGACACGGCTGCCCCCTCTGCCAACCCTGCCCCTTGCAGCCCAGGGACCCTGCGTGGAGCCAGAGGCTCGCGTGGCAGGGGGTCATGTGGCCAGCAGACATGGAGGGGCTCGGGCAGCCGGTGGGGTTGGGGGCCCCAGAGCCTGGCTCTCACCCTCGTCCCCTGCCTGGCCCTGCAGGATCATCCGCAGGGAGCACTCGGACCCCGTGATCGAGGAGCTGAACCCAGGAGACGCCATGGAGCCCGAGGGCCGGGGCACTGGTGAGTCCCCCACGCCTGCTGCCCCTCAGGGGCTGGGCCAGGTGCTGAGATGCCCCAGGCTGTGCTGCCTGGGGA